AAAATGACTGGTACCCTTGATCTGATGCCCTTCCAAGACTCTGCCAAATTCTATTTTTGTTAACCGTCACTGACATTGTGGTAGTATCTAGAGACCATCCAGGTTGGGGGTCTCACTGTGCTACGCTGTGGGCATACCTACCGTAAGTGGCAAGTCTCTGTCCCCAAGAGTCTATTGCTGTAGGACTCTGTGTGTGTGTGTGTGGTACTTCATATAGCTGAATTTAGTATTACTGTGGACTACTAAATGTATCCCTCCCTGAAGCCCACCAAGACAGCAGAAAAGTGACTTACCAGAACAAAGCTGCCAGGGCATTCAACCACAGAAACCAACAGCAAATGAGATGTTCTCAAGACAATCATAGCTCTAGGACATGCATCCTGAGACACTAGTCTCACATTAGTGAGCGTCAGGGTGCAGATGAAGGTGTTTCTGGATGGTCAAACTTTGAACAGGGCTTGGAAGGGCAGAATGTTCCAGTCTCTCTAGAGAGACATTTCAGACCTGACAATATAATGTGGCCTACTCTCCCTTTCTCATTGCCTGTTTCTGATGCCAGTAAATGCTGCAGTCAAGCAGAGCAAGGGATCAAAGATGGGGATCAATATGAAGCCAAGGAAGAGACAGAGCAAAGGGCAATCTGACAATACGTGCACTAGGCAAAAGATCCTAGATGGAGGGGTGGGGAGACAGCGACATGAGGACCAGAGCAGTTGGGGTGCGGGAGAGTATGTAGGGTAGATAGGGTAGGAAGCACATCAACCAGACATGCTCCTCTCCTGGTACCTTCTTTATGTTGCTGGAACAGTCCAGCTAGCAGACACCGTGTGGATTCCAGGTTGCGAACAATATTAGTGGAACGGACACTGAAAGAGAAAAAGTAGCTTGTTAAACAGTGACATGGGTCTTCCTCCTGTAAACAAGGCCACATCCAAGAACACGTTGTAGGACACGGGACCTTGATCTCACATGAATCAGCAGCTCCAGATATCCACTGTCAACATTAGCATCACTTAAATGGCAATTCAGACACCTGATGAGAGAATTGCGTGCAATGGTTCCCAAACTTTTGTACTGGTGACCCCTTTCACACAGCAAGCCACTAAGTGTGACCCCACCTTACAATTTAAAAACACTTTTAAAAAATGTAATACTATTACAAATGCTGGAGGGGAGGCAGAGCTTGGGGCTGGAGACTGACAGCTTGTGATTCTCCCACTTAGCCTGGTGTGACTCCCAAGTATGAGAACCCCTGCGCTAGAGACTCCAAGTTGTACTGGCCATGTGGGAGGCATCAGATGCCTGCAATGAGCAGTGTGATACACCGGGGGAGGAGTGTGTAGTCAGGGAGCCTTCATCCAAGAGGTAAAAAAGCAGTTGTGGGGGACACATGCAGAAATTTTCAGAAACTCACAAAACCTCGGAAGGATTGAACACCGGAGACAGAAAATTGATCTTCTCCACATAGCTTCGCCTCAGTCTTTCCCCCAGGACAAACATCTGCTGCATCCCCACTGTTGTCAGCTGCCCAGCAATGACTCCACCCTGGGGAGAGAAACAGCAATCACCATTCAGTGCATGGAAAGATACAAGTCTTGCAAAGGGAACAGGGAAGAGTTTCTCACGTTCAGGGTGGTCTTTTTGTATTGATCTTCATAGGGAGAGTGGGGTTTTGGCCCACCAGAGAGGTCAGTTACTATGTAATCCAACTGGGTTTGAGCGGGGACTTCTAACAGAGCTGGGCGCCACTCCACCTGTCGCAAAAAACAAAAGAGAAATGATTCAGTAGAAAATAATAATCTGCAATGGCATCAGAACTACCCTGGGCTACACCAAAGCCTGGGAGAACACAAGTGCACTATCTCTGTGATACTGAGACAGGATCAAGTGATATATAGTCCATGACTCCAGCATCTCCTGGTATTTAGCAAGCATCTTGGAGTGTATGGTGGTAGGTCGTCGGAGAGCCTCCACTACCACAACATGCAACATCACCTCTGTATTGGCTCTGGGAAGCACCAGCACTGAGACAGCCATACTTCCCTAACAGCTGAAGTAGTAACAGATCACACCTGCTACTAACAGCACACTGAATTTCTTCTTGAGCTAAATGGTAGAGCGAATATCCTCAGATTCAAGAGGTCCCAGTCAGAGTCCATAAAAAGCCAGGTCAATCACAATGATGCCCAGGTAATTGGGGTCATGTACAGCCTGCTCACTATAGCAGCCTGCATACAAGTGCTCATTGCCCCGGAACAAATCTGTGTGTCTGAGTATTACGAGTTGAGCACATTGTTCAAGTGGCAAACAGAAACGGTTTTGCCACTTGAAGGGCAGGGTGCATGAAAGGGATGAGCTATACTGCTGTGCTCTACTGGCAACTAATGGATTGGACTCCAGAGGGTGAGTGTGCGCTTTGGAATCTGAAGGCTTCCCCAGCCAGATTTCTTACAAACAACAGTACATTTATTGTATCCAGCATAGCTGCCAGCAATACAGAAGGCAAAAGCTGGACCTAGCCAATTTTCCCCCCAAATCCCAATATCTTATTTTGGGTGCCCTATTTCAAGGTAGCTCGAGTGACAACACTCCTGAAAAAAAACCAGAGGCATCTAGACAAAAATGGCCTCAAACCCCCAAGTTGTTACTCTAGATCTAGCCATTTTTACTCTTCCCTAGATTTGTGCCAACTAGAACGGAAACCGAAGGCAATGTCCATTGTACTAATACAAAGAAGGTGTGGACTCTGATGGATTTTGGTTCAAAAGGGCAGTAAAAATTTGGATCTAGCTGGTATCTGGCAAACATGCAATTAAAAGTGGCTTTGTGCATTTAAACAGATACATCTCTTCTACAGTAACAATATGCAGTTACATATGTTTGGAGAAAATGTGACATTGTAGTTGAATCTCTGCACTTACAACATGACGCTACTTGAGTTGGAAGTGACACACATACACCTTTTTGAGTGTCAGATGCCAACGTTATTTTATATCAGATACTGAGTGTGACTAAGGATAGGACGTCAACAGCTTCTCAGTACACAAAAGGGTATTTATAGTATTTCCGTGTAGTTAAATTAGTGAGCACAATTATGAGTACTTACATATACAGTAATAAGACCCATTACTGCCCTCAGCTATGCACCCACACTGACTTGAATAGGACATATTTGGGCACTCAATATTAACTACATTTTAAATTACTACATTAGAATCTTGCTAAACTACAACTTCTTAATTCCTACATTTAAATAAATGGTGTGAATCCTCTTCTCAGCAAAGATGTAACAGCAGACTCCTGTAAATGAGGTTTCATAGTGCCAAGACTTCATTACTTTTGCACATTATTAGAGAGTATGTTTACTACTATGCCATGTTGTATAAATAATGAAAATTAAACTACAGCTGTCACAATAAATGAATAGAGAACACTACAATGAAATAGCTTTGTTATTCCATTCACTTCCTAATTAAAAAAAATCAGTGCTTGGTAATGGGACTCCCTGTTGTCACACCAAATGAGCAAGGCCTTATGGTACTGTTAACTGCATCTAACTTTAATTAATTACTATTTTATCCAATAATGCTATTTTTTTTCCAGGATGGTATCCTAACAATTCTGACTCCCTTTATCCTGCTTGGATTTGTGTATACATCTATTTGAATCAGAGATCTATCTCATTCCCGTTTTAAAGACAGACATTACACCACCCCTTGCTAACTTAACTAAGTTACAGATTTGATAGCAGTCTAGGCCACATTTGGACCCAAATGCTCATATGCACAGTTGCACTGAACACACTAACATCAAATATGATTTGACCAACACTAGAGAAGATGCTCCTTGTCCTTCCATCACACCAACTTCATTTATTGTCTACATAAACAGCAAAAACCTAAGGTTAGGGGCAAAAACAGACAGGTTCTGATAGGCTCCAATTACCACATGCAGGAGTTGGAAGATGCACTAAGTCTGAATCCCTGACAGTGCAAATGTCTCTGAAGCAGGGCACTGACTACGTCTGGGAGGTAAAACGTCATTAGAGTTTTGGGTCCAAAGCCCTTCCCTAGGAATTCCAGGTGTTCTCATGCGATACCCCTAACAAACAAAACAAGTCTAGGCCAGATAGCCCCACCACATGGTGGCACCATTGCCCAATGTTAGATTCAAGAACCACCAGGCTCCCCAAGACAAAGAACTGCCATATCTTCAGAAGCTTCAGGGGGTAGCCAAGTTAGTCTGTACAGGATAAACTTAAAAAACAAAAACTGGCCTGGTAGCCAACCCCATCCTGTTCATCATCTTTTCCCCTCTTGATAAACCACACTGCCACTTCCCTAAAACGTAACTGCTCTTTCCTTATAAATAAATGCACATGGCGAGGTAAGGGAGAATGAGCACTTTCTTTTAATACTAGTTGTCATTATACTTAGAAATTGATATTGAGTTGTGGGAGAAAATTAACAATTAAGTGGATCCAGCAGTGGATTTTCCTGCTCTTCCCCCATGCTTTATTGCATGAGAATGAACTGGGAACCAGACTTTTCTAGTGCAAGGGCACTGAATGTAAGCGGTTTTTGTGGGAAGCTAGCATGGCCGGATCAGTGGTTCTCACACTTTTTTTTGTGAGTGGACCACCTGACAGACCACTTAATGATTTTTCTAAATGTCTCTCCCCCTCTGCAGTAGCTACTAAGATGGGGCTGGGAAGCAGGGGATCTCTAACCAGCCACAGCAGGCAGAGCTGAGGCCGGGAAGGAGAGCTCTCTCTCCCAGGCAGCCACAGTCCTGGAGCTGGGGAAAGATTGCTTCTTTCTCTGGCTGCCACAATCCTGCATATCCCAAATTACCCCTCTGCCCCTCTTCTTACCCCACTGGGGCTCACCTACCACCTATTTCCCCAGATACCTCATTAGTGGAGCTACCTCTGTGTGGCTCTACTAACTGGGGAGGTGGCCCTTCCTTCTCTCATGTGCAGCTGCCCAAGTGCACACCTTAGAGTGAGGGAGCTATCCACAGACCAACTGAATGGAGCTTGTGGATTATGGATCACAGTTTGAGAACCTCTAGCTTAATAGACACAGGGTTAGGAGACCTAACTTCCAGTCCTAACTGTGCTGCAGGGAGATCATATGCAAGTCACACCCCCTTGTGCCTCAGTTTCCCCACATGCAAAATGGGGATAGTGATACCTCCCTTGTAAAACACTTTGAAATCTACTATATATTTGAGAGAATGTGCGCACCTATCCGTCATTGTGTCCATCCATCCATCTATGAGTCCGTGTACTCAAGAACTCCTAAACAGCAAGAGCTAGGACCACCAAAGTTGATATGCAGCCTCCTCTTATCATAACTTAAAGCAAAGTCAGGATTTGGTTGACAATGGGATGTGCTGTGAAATATGATTGTTTCTCATCAAACAGAAAGGAAGGAAGGGTGTGTAGCAGGGACAGTTACCCTCACAAATGACTACAGGGGAGCAGCCACCAGCCAGCAGCATAGTCCCTGCAATTCTGACCTGCCTCAGGAAGCAGCCACTGGCTGGGGCTTGGTCCCAAGGAGCAGCTGGTCTGTCCCACCCCTGCTGCCCTGACCTGGTGAAAAGCCACCACCCATGCCATGCTGCCCCCAGGGAGAAACTGCCAGCCACCCTCACTCCTTGCCCTGAGCCCCCACCTCCTGCTCTGACTCCTACACTCCCTGGTCTGAACCCCTCCTCACCCCCAACTCTGATTCCTGCACTCCCCCACACCTTCAGTCCCTTGTCCTGAGCCCCCCCACATCCACGTGCCCCTGCCATGGCTCCTGCAACTCCCACCATGAAGGATCCATGCAACACCAGGTAAGTCTTCTAATCTAGTAATAAAAAAAGAAGTATTATTAAATGATAAAATTTGGGAACCAAAATAGTGTTGGGACTGGAAGGATCCAAATGCTAGATCTGCAACTTTGCTACTCTAATTGATCTGTCAGGGTCTACATTTTACTATTGTTTTGTCACCAGCTATACTTGTTTATAAATATGGTACAACAATTGGGAATTCAGAGCTGAGCTGGACAAAAATTAGATGGAGTCCGATTTTACTCTCAGCCAAACTTTTAAAAAAACAAGGCATTTCACTGTAATCTACTCCATTGCTCTGGTATTCACCCTGGCACTGTGGAGTGTCCCCTCTCTGCCCCCACGATCCGGAGGCAGCAGCTTCTTCTGCTCCTCAGATCAGTTCCCTCCGGAGTCTCCAGTAGCCCCCTCTCACCTGCTCTTGTTTCGGGACGGGTCTTAAAGGAGTGCGAGCTCCATGCCGAAATATGACCTGGACCAACTTCAGCTCCAGCTGGTGGCGGGTGCTGCTGTGCTGAGTTTTGTCCCTTCGCAGCTCAGCCACGACTACCCGCTTCTGGTGCACGCAGAAGGCCAGGGTGCCCAGGAGCCCCACTCGAGCCCAGATCCCCATGAGGAGGGAGGGGCTGTGCTCCCTACAGGTGCCGCTTGCAGACGAGCAGCCTTGTGCAAATGCCCCGCCCTGGGCAGGGAGGAGGCGGACGGGGGGAAAGGTGAGCAGACAGCACGTGAGACAAACCAGGACAGTCCCCGCAGTCGGGAGGGGCTGGATACCTGCGCCCCGAGGACAAAGCCCCTAGTGGGGGGGCGGGGGCGCCTGGCCACCCTGGGGGGGCGG